CAGCAGGACAGAGAGAGAAAGAGAGAGAAGTATTTAATGACCTTTAATGTCCTTCCCTTAATAGATCTGATTCAGAGTGATTCCATGTTCCAGTCCTGTCCAGAGGTGACCATCTCAGAGGAACATGCAGTAACTGTAATGTGCTGTTTCACCGCCGTTTCCCCTGCTCTGTCCCTTGGTTAGTACCACCAGTACTAGTTTGTACTGGCAGCAGACAAATGTGCTGAAAGGAGGAGCAGGTTCCATGGTGGGGAATTCATCATGTTTTTAAATACTTGACGATAAGACCTAAACAAGTGCAGATGCATCTCCTAAGGGTGGCACTGTGTGTCATTGTGCTCTGAGACCTGTTTTGGGTACTATGGTTGTCTTGCTAACACCAAACCTAAATAAGGCTCTTCCATAGAGACACTGCTGAGAGAGGCTGCATTTACCTACCTAACCAATGCTACCTCTGTACCCAGTTGAGCCCCTCCTGCTCTTCTAGATGCACCTTCCATCCTCTATATCTGTACAGAATGATACACAACCCACTTTTCCACCTAAGCACAACACCCTGCCCCCTCTGATTTTCATGTATGTAAGTTGCCACATACATGAACGTGTAACCCTTAAACAAAACTCTGCGTGATGAGTAAAACAGACACCTAAAAAAGACATCAAACTAAAAAACAAATCTTATGACTTTGTTACCAGGGTCTTTGCAATTGAAAACTAGTGTTAGAGACAGGGCTAAGAGTCAATATATGTCACCTAAAAAATAAGTTCCTGGATCCAGGTCTCCTAGTAGTGTAAATGGTCATGGTGTGCTGTGACCTCCCTCTGTCTGTATCTCTGCACTTTCTTTTTCTTCTCTCTACCACTCTTCCTGTCTGTCTGCCTCATCCCTGGATCCATGACAAGAAAGTCAGGATACCTGACAAGACCATTTGATGCTCGCAAATTGTTCCTTCACAAATAAATTAGAATGTGTCTAACACTTATACAAGGTCTTTCCCGGGTCCATGGACTGTGGAAGGAAAGGCAATTCCACAGTAAGCTCAGGGGTGAGCTCTGCTTCCCTGCCCTTCCCATGGATGGGGGTGATGGGTTCAGATCTAAACCCCTCCTCACCAGAGAGCCTGGATCAAAGTACAAAAGTCACTACAGATATTGCTGCCTCTGTACTGGGGTTCCTCTGGGAGTGTAGGGGCAGGATCCATTTTGCTTCAACAATGGAGATGTGCTTGTTTATAAACCTTTATATTGTTACTCTGTGCCCAGGTAATGGAGCTTTTAGCTTGCTCTAGAATGGCCCATGTGATTGTTAAGAGCTTCTTTCTCCCTGAAACAGAATGCAGGTCTAAGAAAAGCTTAACTTTCCTTCCACCACTGTCTCTCTATTGCTCTATCTTTCCTGATCACCATCTGCCTGTCCACAATCTCTCTCTGCACATGCAGGGTCCCAGGCTTTGGCACACATGGGCTAGGTACAGACATTCAAATGCCCAAGGCAGAAATGATCAAGTTGCACAGTTTTCTGTGAGCAGCATAGTTTAAATCGGAAGCAAACAACACACATTCACTCTTTGGTGCGGTGGGAGGGCCCAAATCACAGACCAGGTTCAGCCATTTTTAAGCCAGGCTATGCATGCCGAAATTCTGTTATGTTACAGGTATAGACTGTTTTGTATTTAGGAGGAGTGTGGTGGCACAGTCGTACCTCCCTTTTGATTCATGCTCTACCCAAACTTTAAAACTAACTGCCTGACAGCAGCAGTGGCATTTCTATTCAGGCAGCACTAAGGGAGTCAACTGATTTCAGGGCTCATTATTATCTATATATGATTCCTGTTAACCTTTCTTCATTCTACAGGTGTTAACAATTCCCTCTCCTTTTTAATGATACAGAGACACTCCCCTATTCTTATATACCATGTATTATTCTGCTTATTAGCTCTACTGGTACCCTGAAGTACATCCTCTGTAGAGGAATATAAGGACAGCTAGCTAGGCCAGTAGTAATGCAAAGTTTGTCTGGAGACATTTTGTTATGTTTTGTTATGGGTATAGACTGGTTTCTGATCACTTATACCAGTACAAATGTAATGTCTGCACCTGGCCACTTCGTGTATTTCTGGTGTTATTGACTGACTGACAGGAGTAGTGCTGGGAGCTTTGGGAGCTGCAACTTTGTACCCTAGTGCTGTGTCACTGGTCAGATAGGCTCAGATGTAAGGCAGCAAAGCCACCGAAGAGCAGAGTAGGCACACCTAGCCAACAAGAAGGGGATGTGGACATCCTTGACCTTATGCTCTTTTCACTGCCACCTGAAAAGCCCTACCCCAAGCTACTGAGCACCAGAGCTGCACATTTTTCTATCTTAGATGGCTTATGTGGTACAGATCAAGGGCGTGCAGCTACTGCAATAAATAAATAAATAAAAGTGTGAGAAGTAGAGATGGCTCTGCTGAGCAAGAGGGGATCTGGGCGCCTTTGAACTCCTGGTCTTTCCTGTCCCAACCACTGCACACAGAATCTGGGCTACCAAGCACCAAAAAAGACCTCTTTCTTTCTCTGACTCCTTATGTGATGGTGTGGCCCTAGGCCTAGGGCTTACAGCTACCCCAAAATTAAAAAAAGAAACACTACCTGCAGAGGGGACCTGGCCACAGCATCTGAGGGTTTTGAACCTAAAACTATGGGCTGGGGAAGCCAGCAAGCTGAACGCCAGAGTACAGCTGCGGCTTTGGCTTGTGTTCACACTGCAGAGAAATGGGCCAAACCTTGAGTGCCACTCCATGTCCCAGTCAGCTTTTGCCCAGACCCAGCCATCTGTACACAGAGACACCCCAACTGCTCAGATGAAAGCAAGGCCCAGAACTGGGGGTTTGGCTCACCATCCTGAGCCCCTGGAGGTGTCCATAAGGAATACAGATTTATGTAAAGCATTGTGCATTACAGTGCGATTGTGAGGAACTGAACGTGTCCAATGCAGGTGGTTTTACGCTTGGATTCAAGATAATGCCTGTTAAACAGTTTTGGGCTGTTGCTACATTTGGATATTATACTTTTGGGGGGTAAAGCACATAAATTGAAGTGGTTGTATGGTGCATGTTGGCAAAAAGACTGATTTTCCTGAACTGTTAGATAAGGTTGGTTATCCAAGTTTTCAAGGCAGCCCAGTGTAGGGTGGGGGAACTAATAAATACAGTCTCATTCTTATCAGAATATACTAACTGGGCACTGGGACCACCAAATTACCAGGCTTCAAGGTTGTATTCATACCAGCTCCCATAATAAATTATCAAAACTTATTTTTTAGTTTATCCTGCAGAGCTTAGGTGCTCCACAGAACTGGACTGTAATTCCAATGGAGCAGCTAAGAAACAACACAGTACTGAGGTACAAAAGAGCTCTAAGCTTGTCTTGCATGCACACTCTTGTGCAGCTAATTCATCTTGGAATTTCATAAGGGAATATACAGGACAACCAGGTGTTCCTATTAATCAGGGTATGGCTAATTGAAATATTCTTGTACAGCTGTTTCTGTAGGTATTGCTTCTTATACTGCAATTAATGGGGTTTGCTTACTAGAAAGCGCAGGATAAGTGAAAGTAATGAGGCAGAGTTCTGTTTTGTAGAGTCCTAAAATATTTCCAAACTACATGGTATATGGTTTGAAAATACAAATGGTAATTTAATTCTTTGGTTTTTAAATGTTTTTAATCTGCACACCACATTTCCTAACTTTCACGCTTTCTTCTGTGTTTATAACACAGCATTATAATTGCTTCAAGTGAATTACTATACAAAAAACAAAACAAATCTAAATGCAGTTTTTGGCATTTATTGTTTGATGAGTCTTACCGCCCAGCAAGGATATTGTTGGGTTTTAATTTATGTTTGTGAAATACACTGAAATTATAGCAGCTTGTATCTGAAGAATGTTATTTAATGTTAAAAGCTTTGAGTTCTTGTCAACATGAGTACATTATAATTCTTGCTATGGGTCAAATATTACAGCACAGTTCTGTGAAAAAAGCTTTGAAAATGTAATGGAAAGGTGATATGCTTTGATTTTAAATTTGTAACTACTTCAGAAGCACATTATATCTCTGTTACAGTATTGAATTCCCTT